TCTCTTATACACATCTAGATGTGTATAAGAGACAGGCTATACCACTTACGTCACTCTCTCTCTCTCTCTCTCTCTCTCTCTCTCTCTCTCTCTCTCTCTCTCTCTCTCTGCGCATGTCCAAGAGGGATGCGATTACGCCACTCTCTCTCTCTCTCTCTCTCTCTCTCTCTCTCTCTCTCTCTCTCTCTCTCTCCACAACAGGGATCCGATTACATCCCCCCTCTCTCTCTCTCTCTCTCTCTCTCTCTCTGTGCATTTTCTGTAATGGTAAACTAAAAACACCAATCACAACGTGTGTATGCTTCGAAGAGAGAGCGTGAGAGAGAGAGAGAGAGAGAGAGAGAGAGAGAGAGAGAGAGAGAGAGAGAGAGAGAGAGAGAGAGACAGAGAGAGTGCAAATTGTTCGATCTATTTTGTCATCCTTTCGTTACGCAAGGCAGATGGTTTCCACTTCTACTTTCCGAGATTTCCTCCTTCCCTCCCTCCCTCCCCCCCCTCTCTCTGTGTGTGTGTGTGTGTGTCTGTGTGCATATACGACTGGTAGAGGGTGATAAATGTGCGGGCTTCAGGGTAACATGGATACCCACTTACACCCCAGCTCCCAAACCTCTTCCTCTACTGAACCTGGCCCTGCTGCAGCATACTAGGCTGGTCCTATTAAAAACGGACCTTCACCATCCCTCTATAGCCCCTCTACGGAACATCTAAAAGCTCTAAAAGCCTCTAGCCGTGGTTTAGCGATTGACCAGAAAAACATCCAGGACAAAATCACCAGACAGCACTCTATGCAGTGGTTTTTATTTGGGGGGAAACTAATAAAACGTCCTGATTCAGACTATCTGTGATCTGACTTACCAGTAGTCTCGACTCTGGGACACCGTACGTCAAAACCAACGGTGCCATTCATCTTCAAAACCAACGGTGCGAAACTAGATTCCATGTAAGCAGCAACTGAAAGATCACTTGGATGCATGGAGTACGTATCACGCTGCGCTCATAGGAACTCACAGGAGCCCGGTTTAAGAAAAACAACAGACCCTCGTCATAGCTGAAGCGGACCTGAAAGGTCACTCGTATATATTCGAGGACATAATGCACCGTCATCAACGTTCACGCAACGCAGACCTGAGTTCGAATTCCGATGGAAATAGACGAGTCGAAACATTTACCTGGGGCCGGTCAGCTCAAAGTTGATATCACAAAGCCGCCACCCTTTTTTTTTTTTTTTTTTTTGGACCATTTCTTGATTTATGCGTGTCATCCTTGCGCAGGGGCCATGCTAATCTCATTCTCTGCATCGTTCCAATTTTAACGGATGTCCCAAAGAACAGGCCACCGCCCTTCTAAGATTCCAACGAAAAAAAAAAAAAACGGACATACACAGTCATTTTGCCAGTGAGTAGTGTTCCCCGGTAAGACAAAGAAAACGACTGCAAGAAATCAATCGACAATCGGAAATTGCCATTTCTGGGAGCACAAGCACACCTTATGACGTCTGTATGGGTCCTGAAAAATTGACTAGATACATTCCATGACAGCAGGGAGCAGTAACCACCAATCCATGAATCTCGAAACTTCGTGAGTCGCAATAAATCTCCATGTTTTTTTGCTGCAAAAGAGAGAGAGAGAGAGAGAGAGAGAGAGGAAAAGAAAAACACGGCCGTTTCACGACTCTCCGAGAGCTTCCGGACACGAATCTCCAAGCTTCCGGACACACAAGAAATCAACTCGTTTCGTCCAAAAAGAGAGAGGAAAAAAGATACAAAGATTACGACTGTATGGAACCTAACAGATCACTTTCGCCCCAAGACAAGGCTGAGGGATAACAGCCCTATCACATATCTCGGATTAGACAATCCCGTCGAATTTGCTAAAAAAAAAAAAAAAAAAGGAATCCCGTTATAATCTATGTTACCAGAGTCCCCCGGCTGGGCGACCCGGGCGAACACGGGGGGTGACCTGCCCAAGGCACCCAGGGCACACCAAAAGACGGGTCTTTTTTTTTTTTGGCAGTAGGGCAATTTTGCGCCCACTGAGACGTGCCCAGATCCGTCCTTATCTTTGAGTGTGGTGATATCTCACCAAAGGGTGTCTATGGGGTATAGGCGGGGTTGGAAAGGGCTCGACGGGGCTCAAAGAGGCGTGAGGGGGTATGATCTAGGCTACCAGAGTGGCCCGGGGTCACTTGCCCGGCCGGGCCAAAAAAAATATATATATATACACTTCTCCCTCTCTGCCTACGGTTTACCGGGCAGCTCTGTTTGACTATATATATATCGTCAAATAGAACTGCCCGGTAAACCGTAGGCAGAGAGGGAGAAGAGGACAACAAACGAGGGGCTGTGACAAACTGTTTCGTCGGAGTTTCACCGACTCATCAGGAGTATAAAATATATATATATATATATAGTCAAACAGAGCTGCCCGGTAAACCGTAGGCAGAGAGAGGGAGAAGAGGACAACAAACGAGGAGCTGTGGCAAACTGTTTCGTCGGAGTTTCACCGACTCGTCAGGAGGTGGAACCCTCTATACTAGTCTATATAAACTTTATTTTTTGTTCTAAATTTTGTGAAGAATTTCGAAATGACCTTGAGGCAAAAGTTGTCCAGTTTATTTTCCTGCATAACATAGTTCTTTTCCAGATTTTTTGGTTTTGTTTTCTTTTTGCTGGGACCTTCCCTGGTCTTTGCACGGGCTGGCCACCCGGGACCCGGGCGGCCCGGCTGGTAGCCTAGGGTATGATATAATTTAGTATTTTATACTCTTATTTTTTATTTCGGATTCCATATCGAACTTCGGGATCACACTCAGGCAAAAGATGTTTGGTTTGCAATTCTGCATGACACAGATTTTTTCCAGATTTTTTTTTTTTTTTTTTTTTTTTGCACTGGGACTGCCGGGGACTTTGACGGGGACTTTGCCCGGACCTCGCCCAGCCGCGCCACCCACGCCAATCTGACGCAATCCCGGCCGCCCGGCCGGTAACACAGGACTATCCAAAAATAAAAACAAATCTGAGGAAATCTTCAAAAAACTTCCAAAACAAAAAATATAAAAAAGGACGACGCTATACTGTTAGAAGTTAGAACTATCCAATATACACATGACTCTGCAACCACGAGAGTGAGTGCATCCAACCTGAGACATAGCTTGTGTACATTCGGGAAGACGGCAACATACCAACACACTCAGACAAAAGATGTTTGGTTTGCAATTCTGCATGACATATATTTTTTCCAGATTTTGCGGGCCGCTATTGCGCATCCAATTTTTTTTTCTTTTCCTCGTGTGATCGTATTTTTACGACGCCGGGACGGACGAGGTGTGGCAATACACCCACCACCCCACCCGTCCGAACATATTTGTGGACGATCCATGTTCTAATGGGTGCGCAGCACCATGTGTGTGTGTGTGTGTGCTGTGCGCCGCACTTCTGCTACAGTCTTCCCCCGAATACAACGTACGGTCATTATAGCTCAATTTGGTCTATCTTTTTGTCCAAATTCAGTTATAATGACCGTACGTTGTATTCGGGGGAAGACTGTAGTGGTGAGCATGGGCTATGCACAACAAGCAATACAGGAATCAGAAAAAATGACCTCTTGTCTTTTTTGTTTCTTCTCACTTTCTTATCCTTTTCTATTTAGAGATTGAAAAAGGAAAAAAGCAGCAGGGTTCTCCCCCCCGCATAAAAAGAGAAGAGAAAAAAATTCAAAAAATTATGCAGGGGCCCATGTCTCAGTTTCCCAAGTTCGAACCTTTACCTTACCTCAGTTCTGGACGGTGGCCATCATCAGTGTTCCCCGTCGCAGCAACAGTAGGGTTGTTCGACGCATAGGCTTTCTACTCTTTTCACCACTTTCTCCCTCCCAGTCGCCAAACATTGTCGTACCTGTGCGCAAAAAGTACACGTGCAGACAATGGAAAGATGAGCAAAGACCATAATCTCTCAGGACATCCATCAGTTCAAAAATAATAATAATAATAATGATAATAATAATAATAATAAATCAATACTAGTGGGCCGTTGTGACGTTCCGCACCACGCTACGCTCTTTTTTTTTTTTTTTTTTTTTTTTTTCAGCACTTGTGCAAAGCCTCTTATCCCAGCCATCTAGCCATCTTCTCCATGTACAATAAGCAACAAAACAAAACAAAACATGTATCTTTGGAATGAGCATCATGATGCTCGACAGGCCAGAATTTTGTCTCACAAGACAGCAGCTGCTGAATGAAGTGCTAAACAACATCAGGAGATTCTCGAAATGGTACTGAAGCATACTCGCACCAGAAGTTTACAAATGTATCTGACCGCATGGATGCATTTGACCGCAATCGCGTCTAGAGCTGAGTCGAAAAAGTACTAGTCTGAGTATGCCCTGAGTCAGGGAATTACTCTCACAAGGTCTTCCCATTGTCTCGGGGCAACCAACGTCGGGCCTGAATGCATCTGACGACAACCATGTCCAGAGCTGAGTCAATAAACTACTAGTCTGAATATGCCCTAAGTTAGGGTGTAATCGCACGTCTTCCGGTTTGTCTTGCGGCAATTTGCCTCAGGGCTGTAGTCTGAGTATGCCCTAAGGGCGTTCTTTCACAACGTCTTCCCATTTGTCTCGCAGCAATTTACGACTTGTCCAAGTGTCCAAGACGTGTCTGGCCGCATTATGCCCACAGAATAGTCCTGAAAGTCCATGTGACTACGCCATAAGTCTGAAACTGGGGAATTCCCACTTATCGCCATGCCCTACTCCCGTTGTCCTTGCTTTCTCTTCTTCAAATTTCTCACCTCTCTCTCTCTCTCTCTCTCTCTCTCTCTCTCTCTCTCTCTCTCTCTCTCTCTCTCTCTCTCTCTCTCTCTCTCTCTCT